TGTATTTTATTTATAAATATTGTTTGTTGCACGGATTATTGAATGATTAATCGTTCAAAAAAAAAATGACCAACAAATTTTTGACCAATTCCAATCTCTAGTTTGCACCAACAAGAAACAAAGACTTGCCTTTTTTTATTTTTAGTGGTAGGTTGGTTCTGTTAAAATTCTTAAAGGAAACTACAAAGCTGAATTATCTGTAAAGGACTTGGTATATAAATTCTAAGCAATAATGTTAGTAGTGGTGTATAACGGAGATGAAAAGTTACAACCCAGTCACACATAATTCATATGATAACAAACACAAGGAGACTGGATTGGATAGATAAAGAGGAACTACTTGTTTCGAAACTGATTTTGTAAAAGAGTATTTAATATATACTGTATATATTAAAAATGAACAAATTGGAAGAAATTTTATTTAGAAAATAAGGTAACTTACATAATAAAAATAAATAAATAACTAACTATATATATATATATATAATTCATTAATTAATAGATGACACCTCATCCAATGCATTATTTGGAATTCTTCTGCGAGAACGATACTTCTTTATGGCATATTCTGCAACACAAAGAGACAATCCTTTTCTATATGCATCCATGTATCTGAAGGATCTACATGCATATTTTCTTATAGATGAAATTGGGATAGAGTCCAAGGCCGAAGGTACTGTATTCAAAAGTCCACTCCAAGTGTAATCACAATTTTCCCTTGTATATCTTTTAACTGCACCCCAATACATCTCAATAAAATTTAGTTCACAATGGAACTTAGGGTAGAAGATCACCATATGTCCCATTTCTTCAATCTCTTCTTGGATGATTCCTTTTTGTGCTTGAAAATCAGGTTGTAGTTCTAATATTTTCAAACCACAACAATCTGACTTTCTATTTTGATCCCTTGTTTTCTTGGTTTTACACTCGGAACATACCTTTCTCAATCCATCCCTATACAGTCCCCTTTCTACTAATATTGTTCTCGTTCCTTTCTGCTTACCATCAGGATCAACCATCTTTTGTTCAGCGCCATCAAATACAGTATCTCTCATCTTTGGTTGGCTTCCACCATCATTCCAATTCATTTTAGATGCAACTAAAGCATCATTGGAGAAGGCAGCATGTGAAGTTGCATTATCAAATGCAAAAAGAGCTGTGCAATTTGGGTGAGTGGCATTAAATATTGGTATCACTTTACTTATTATTTGATCCTTTAATTTCTCTGTTGTCCACCATCCTTCATTGTTTGATCCTATTTCAAGACATTCATGACTTTCTTTGGGTAATTGGGGATATTGTTGTTGTTGTTGTTCGCTGAGATGTAGTCTGCCAATTGTTTCTGTCAAAAAATCACTAACATGCAATCCTCTTCCTTTACCTTTTTTTTTAAAGGCTGTTCACCTTTTGGCTTCCAACCTCGGTTTTTCCCATCATTTGCATGAAAAATAGATTCATCATGTGTTACTAGAATTCTCATCTTAACACCAACTTCTAACACAGGATCAACTTGTTTTTCTAGATCATTCCCTTCAAAGTGAAGAGCATAAGGTTCGTATTGCTCTTCTATAAATTTTAGAAATTTTTTTCTATATTCTACAACATCATCCCTATCATGACCATCAGCATAAAGTCCTTTTTCATGGGTGCCAAACTCCCATCCTAATTTTTTAAGCCATCTTTTTGCTATTGATTCGGATGTTTTTTTATCTTCATTATCCACTCCTATATTTGGCAATATTGTTTCATTGACATGCTTACATAAATTTTTAAATGTTATATCAAATTTCTTGGATCGTACATAACTTCCTACTTGATCAGCAATGTCTTCATGACTCCATAGGCTTTACATCTTGGGATGCTTCCCTCTTTTTGAAGTAGGTGCAGTTTTATTTCTGATCCATTGTTTGGCCCAGGCTCTAATGCATTTACTTTTATAATTTTTTGTCCACCCCAGAGATACTGCCACTATCTTACTTGTTTCAACCTTTTTTTTACCATTGTCTAAATTTCTAAATACATCCCGATTGCTGTTGATCTAGACTTTGTATCATTGTCTAAATCAGGGTTTCTAAGAGCTTCTTCAACAGAACCTATTATATTTATCCAGTTATCATCTTCATCTTCATCTTCGTCATTGTCATCATCATCAAGAGATTGTTCTCTATTAGGAGTTTGAACACCAAAAAATCCAGTAATTTTAGAAGATCCAACTGCTGCAATTTTCAAACCTCTGGCACGTCTTTGTTGTGTCCTGATTGAACCCCCCGCATAAAAAGTACTGCTTTTTTTTGTTGAAGTGTAAGTCTCATTTATAATGGTAAAAGTTTCAATTCGATTCATATTCACATCCTCCCAGGGTTTATCATCATCAGAACTTGAGTCAGATTCAGATTCAAATTCGGGTTCAACTTCAACTTCGGGTTCAGAACTCAAATCTTCATTTAAATTCATTACAACATCATCGCTGGTATTTGGGTAATTATCTACATATGTTGGATCACTGATTCGTCTTCTGTTTCTGGTTAGATTTGCAATGTGAGTTTGTCTTTTCTTAGATTGGCCCATCTTAAGATATTGATATATTTGAATTGGGAAAAAATATATATATGTAATGTTTAAATCGGGAAAAAGAATTTTGATTTTTAACAAAGAAATTTGATTTTTAGTAATAGTAATAAAAAAGAATTTTGGTTTTTATGCACTTGCTATATTATTAAATTTTTTTATTGGTATAGCTTGGTAAAAACATCTTGTATTTATATTGATTTAATCACTTCTTTAGTTCCCAATTTTATTTTATTTTATTTTCTTTAGAATTACATAAATTTCTTTAGATTATTACATGATGGTTTCGGGTATAATTTTATTTTTATTGATAACCAAAAATAAACAAATATACTTTTATTATTATGCTAGAATAAATCCATTTTGATGTTTATTGATTAAAATACCATAAATACAAGATGTTTTTTAAAACTCAATATTTCAATTTAATCAAATAATAAAATCTAGATTAAAAAAAAATCAATTTTTTATTGCTATTTAAAAATGCTTAATCAACAAAAACATCATAGAAAAACTGTTAATGAAAATTGGTTTCATGATTATACATGGTTAGAAAAAGATGAAGAAAATGAAGATATAGTCCTTTTTTTTTGTAAACTTTGTAGAAGCAGAAATGGAAGTACAAAATTTGCACAGGGCACAACAGATTTAAGTCTAGAAGGAATTAAAAGACATTTAATAACCCATGAACATAAAGCATCAGAGTCGCAACTTCAAAATGAAATAAATAGAAATCAATTAGCAATTTTTTCATTAATGAGAAATGTTTATTTTTTATCTAAACAAAATCTTTCCTCTCATATTTATCCTGATCTATGTAAATTAATGATGTTACAAATTGAAAATAATAATGAATTAATAATTGCTGAAAAATCATCTACTCTGAAACCTGCTGCTTTAGAAAAAACATCTACTCCTAGATCAGCATATGGGAGCTATACAAATTCTAAATCTGCTTCTGATTTTTTGGATAGTATAGCTTCTGTAATAAAAAAATCACTTTTTGAAGAATTGAATTCCTCAATTTATTGGAGCATAATGATTGATGAAGCCAACAGTATTGATAATGATAAATATTTAGCAATTGTGGGAAAATATATTGTTAATAATATTCCTTATATGAGATATTTGGGCATGATTAATCTAGAATCTACCACTGCAGAAAATATTTATAACCAAATCTTATCATTTTGTATTTCAAATGAAATATCATATCACAAAATAATTCATTTTGGAAGTGATGGGGCTTCAAATATGACAGGAAATAAAAATGGTGTTGCTACAAGGTTAAAAAAAATCAATCCTTTTATGTCCTCAATTCATTGTATATCACATCAGCTTCATTTAGCTGGAAAGGATGCTTCTGATGAAGTAGAATATTTTCAAAAATATGAAAGAATATTACGAAATTTATATTCATATTTTTCTAGATCACATAAAAGACTAAACTTATTAAAATTGATGCAGGAAATTAATGATGAACCAACACTCAAAGTATTGAATTTATGTGACACTCGATGGTTGTCATTATCAAATTCTGTACATAATTTACATCAAATCATGAATTCAGTACTTGCTGCTTTAAATGATGATATGTTAGAAGGTGATGAGCATGCAAGTGTTTTATTTGGACAATTGGATCAAGATTTCATTTCTGCAACAATGTTTCTTGCTGATTTAATGAATATTTTGAAAAGGTTAATAAAAATATTTCAATTAGATAATCTATCTTTATCACAATATAAACCAAACATTGATGCTGCAATTAAAGAGATAATAGCAGAATTTATAGGTGATGGAGAAGTTCTACCAAATCATGGCATGATACTCAAAAATTATTTAGAAGAAAATTACCTTTCAGCACCTTCATTTGTTAAAGATTACTCATTAGCAATGATAAAAGCCATCAATGATAGATTCCCTGACTCTGAACTATATTCTTTGTTTAGAATTTTTGATCCAAATGAACTTCCTGATGCTGAAAATGATTTAAATCTATATGGTCAGAGTGAGATAGAATTTTTAGATGAATTTTATGGAGATACTAAATTGGTTAATGATGAATTTTGTGAAATTGTTGAAAAAGGAACGCTCATAGAAGAGTGGACTCTCTAAAATTCTATTTGTATACCTATAAAAACACAGAAATGTATTTTATTTGATTGTGGAAACACATTTTGGATACAGATGAAAATTTTTATTTCAATTATCTAAAGACTAGTGCTGTAAATTGTGATGATGGTAGTAATTGTATTTACAGCATATAAAAAGTGGTTGCAATTACCTTTGCGACCACTTTTGCAACCATACTTTTTCCTTTTTTGGATTACAGCACTAGTCTTTACTGAGAATGTATGTGTACATATGCCTTCTTTAAGATCCCAAATACGAACTGTATTATCAGCAGATCCTGATGCTAACACTGTGTTAACTTATTGTAAAGTATTGACACTACCTTCGTGACCTTCAAGCTTGTGGATCATTTTACCACTAGCTGTATTGTAAACATTAATACACCTGTCATCTGACCCAGAAACAATTTTTTGAGAGTTGAATTGTAAACAAGTAACAGTGTTGTTACCATGTCCTTGGAAAGATATATGCTTATATTGGCCATAAAACCAATTTTTTTGAGTGATAAAGTATTGATCCTTGTATATGATATTTTTCAATTTTTTGCAAACTAATGAAACTTGATACAGACTTCCAATATTTAAATATCTCATTATATATAAAATTACATCATCAGGTAACAGGCAAGGAAAGTATTGTTTTCTAGTGCATATTGGAGTGCAACACATTAGTGATTGAAAAAAACCAAAATGACAAATCTCAACCACCATTCTTATAATAAGTAACTAGAGTGACAATAATTGATAAACACTTATTCTTTTACTTCTACTGCTGCTCCATGATAGTCTTCTTTTCTTTGTTTTGCTATATTCCTCGTAGTGATCACAATCATCATATTCATGAATATTCATTAAGGGGGTTATACTTATCAAAATCAAGTGATTGGACTAGGGATGGGGCGGTTCCACTAGGGAACCGGTTCTGAACCGAACCGAACACAGAACCGCGAACCGGTTCCAGAACCGAGTTCTAACCGTTCACCATGTGATTTATACCTATATGAGGAAATCCTGAGTTAATCTTTCCTTAAAAGGAATGATTAATACGAATAACGTGACTTATTAATATTCAAATAAATTAAATTAAATATTATTATTATTATTATTATTATTATTATTATTATTATTATGTAAATAACGAATAAACGGACAAACAATGAATGAATATGAT